TTTTTGTGACGTTTCTCGTTGGCTACATTGGCTGCCTGTGGACGCCTCCCCGCGCGCTGCCCGCACCCCGCCGCACCACTCACCCTCCCACTCCAAACTCTCTCTCTCCCCCTATCTCTCACATTCTCGGCGCCTTTCCCCCGCACCCGCCGCTGTAGTGAGGCGGGCACACGGGAACACACAGTCGTGTAGTCTGCAAGACGAGGAACAAGCGCGGGATCACACGAACAGACGAAAAAGAAAAGGCAAAAAGAGGTGTGTAATACAAGCGAAGGAAAAGAACGGAAAACCACAAACAACAACAACAAAAGGGAAGCATGGCGACCGCCGTGGCTGCTGATAGCCCAGCTCGTGCCGTGCAGTCGGAGATTGACGTGCTGCAGGCGGATCTGCACCGCAACGTTGGCAGACTCGTTGTGGGCGGAAACGTGAAGAAGAACGTCCACTACGAAGCACGCCACGCCGTGATTTCCCAGGCCATTGCGGATGGGAAGCTCCCNCGAACCTTCTGGGCGGACGCCATCATTGCAGTCCTCGAAACACCAGGCGCAGATGCTGCAGCTGACGGGCGGCTGCTCGGCACGTATGACGTCGCACTGCTGCGGGAATACCTGAAGGATATGAAGGTGACTTATACAGAGGTGGGTGTCAGGGTGACACTGGTGTTCGCGCCAAATCCCTTTTTTGAAGAGACAGAGCTGTGGGGTGAGGAGCGGCAGCTGGACAAGGGGGAGCGAAAAGATAAGGGCGAGGAGGACGATGGTGATAATGATGATGATGACGACGACGACGTCTGCTGTTTCTCTGGCATCACATGGAAGCCTGGCCACGGCCCTGACCTCGATGAAGAAGAAAACGATGATGAGGGCCACCATAAAGCTAATAATAATAATAATAATACTAATAAGGACAAGGATGCTGAAGATGGGGGCAGAAAGCGCGAGCGGTCAGAGACTAGTACGCGTGGGTGGAGTTTCCTTGATGTGTTCAGTGCAATGCTGCCGCACCCCGAGGAGGACGAGGAGCTTGACGAGGAGGACGACGACGAGCTCGCTGACGCCGTGGAGAGGTGGGAAGCGGAGATGGACGATCGCAAGGATCTGCTAATGACGCTGGTGGAGGAGGTCTGGATGAACCCTGTCGCCGCACTGACGAAGGGGAAGGGCAGCAAGAAGGGGGATGCGGGCGAAGCGGTGGAGAGCGGCTCGGCAGCGAAGCGCGCCAAGACGGAGTGATGTGTCCCGTGACGCTACACACACACACACACACACACACACACAGATGCACACGTGTAATTATCGCCGTGTCGGCTTGTCAGCTGTTTAAAGATGAATCAAAGGAAAACAAAAAGACATCAACACCAACTAAGTAGCGTTGGACTCTACTTTCGTGCCCCACGTTAGCTCACGCGCGCATGCACGTGTGAGCTTGTGTGGCCTGGAGAGTGAGTATGAAATAGTTGAAAGGACAGAACAAAGGCGAGCTGATTAGAGTGATGACAAAGCGATAAATTTGAACTTGTGGATGCAGCCGCCTTTGCTCCTCATACTGTTCCTCTTGCCTTTTTTTTTCTTATTGCCTTACGGTTCATGCATCACTTAATCAAGTGGTGCAGGCTCTTGTTGCCTTTGCCCAAGAAAGACACGATGAAGACGCTGCGAGTACCGTCCTCGTTCCGGGACAGCCACCCGCAGGGCGGAGCAAAACGCCTCGTTTTCCCTCGCATTGGGCCGTTTGCGTTTCAAAGTTTGTTCCAAACGCTCCATCATGCTGGGACAGCTGAGCGGCCCCTCAGTTGATGTGGGGGTGCATAGGTTGTAAGGTGAAGAAGGACCTTATAGGTGCGCGTACGCACACTGGCCCATAAATGTGTGATCTATGCCTCAATATTCCCAGGACCAATTATGTTCGTCAGCTGCGGCTGTTACTCATTTTATGCGACCAACATCCATGCAGAAGGGGGACAACAACACGGCTGGACGAACTTCTTTTTTGTTTTCTCTTTCCACCGCTATTTCTCCATGGAGAGGGTACGGCGCATGGCTCCCACACCGTCTCCGCTTGGGTTTTTGGTTTCGCTTCTGATACCGGTCATGTTGGAGTGTTGTGTCTGTGTGTCTATCTATCTGCGTGCGTGCTGTCTACCCTCTGCTGGCTATCCAGCTGCGCCGACTCCCTTTGCGCTGCATTGTTGACTGGTGCCCACACCATTTCAGCCTTCTTCTTCCTTGGGCTGAGAGGAGAGGAGAGGAGAGGAGAGGAAAGAGCAGCAGACAGGACAGGAGAGAAGAAGAGAGGAGAAGAGTCCCAATGGGCGGCGGGATCTCGCAGGTGTGCGGCTCTCCTTCGAAGGGCGACAAGCAGCCGCGCGGGGCGGGTTGCGAGGGGAATAAGGGTGGAGGCGCGTCCAAACCCGAGAAGAGTGCTAAGGGAAGCCGAAAAAAGAAAGGGGACGGCGACCAGACTGCCGCGCAGCCGCCCATTCAATATCGTTGCAAAGGGCCAACGGTGACTGGTGGCGAGATGATTCCCGTGCTGTCGTATGGTGACCGCACTGATGCGATGTGGACGC